TCTGGAGCCTTGTCTGCGGCGCGCCGCGCCGCAAACGTCGGTAAAGCTCCACTTCCTGCTGGACTATGGTCACGGAGCCGCCAGACTGGATCCCGAGCACCACCGCCGGGGCAGGAATATATATATATATATAGATACATATATATATATATAATTCGGGTCGTCCTGTGTAACGCACGCGCACCCCCGTTGCCTGCCAACTGGCACCTATCTGCCTATCTGTCGTTCGAGTATTTTTCCGGGCTCTTGGCTGCGAGCGCGACATCGTCGGCGATCTCATCCAAGAAAGTCTGCAGCCGCTCGGTACCCATCGGTATGGTATTGACCTCATCCCTGGCTTGCTCGGCCGTCGCGTCGAGCCTGCCGCTGAGGCCCTGACCAGAATGAGTTGAGACCATGAAATTAGATATCTCCTCATGGCACTGCGCCAACATACCATCTTTCGAGTACAACTGTAGAATAGATATCAGCGCCTCCTGAAGCCACTTCCATCCTCGCGCAATGCTTTGAAAATCACTTTCAACGCTGGCAGGGTAAGTGGCGCTGACCCGCCTCGGCTGCAGATTTCGCCCACAAGCGCCAGCCTGCTCCAGCTCGACTCCCGTGTGCTGCAACATGTGTTGCCACGGACGCTGCGAACTTACCGTAGACACGCGCGGTGCGAGCCCACACAACAGCGGGGCCAGTTGTACCATCTTGAGCGAGGGCAACTGCGTGCTGAGCAAGAGCAGCGTGTACAGACCAATCAACGGGGCGTGTCATTTGACCTGGCGGGGCCACCGACGGTAACTTCTGTGTGTCTGAGTATACGTAGTGTTGTTTGCCATAACAGTATCAACCATCTTTAACTGAACAGGTCTATGAGCTTTCCTGTGCCATGTCATGGCTGCCCTGGCGCCTCGGTACCCTCGTATAGCGGCGTCGTCAAGCCCAAAAATATCTATAGTAGACGAACCAGTTCCGCCGCTGAACGTGACCTGGTCGTGCACCGCGAGCGTGACTTTCGCCAACCTTGGAAACTCAGAATCCTCGAGGTCGCGAGCCGTCATATTCCAGTCGCCTCCGATGATGTTGGGCGTCGCCGTCCTCGCTTATATCTTCCCAGCAGCCGCAATAATGTCAGCGTTGATGCCCGTGGCACCGATAGAGTCACGCAGATCTCCGTTTAGCAACGTGAGCCCAGACCACCCAGGTAAGTCAACAAGGACACGTTGTAGCCGATGCTCACAAACCAATTGACCATCGGGTGGATGCTTGAGCCCAAGATCGTCGCGAACAAACACGGCTACACCACTGGACATAATCGATTCTTCACTTGGGTTCGCAGGTATGGCAGCCGTCTTCCACCCGCGGTTGGCCGCCCAACTGTAAAGTTGCTCCAGCGTGTCGGGTACGACACCTACCTCCTGGCACACCAGTATCATCGCTGTGCTCTGTGCGAGGCGAGACTTGAGCGTGGCACGGCCCCCGCTAGCATTGGAAGTCGCTATGAACATTGTACCCTGCTCCTTGGCCGCGGGCGGCCTGCGGGCCAATTTACCGAGCAGGCGGGCACCAGAGACAAGCAACGTACTAGGAATACTTGGGCTTCTTTCCAAGCTCGCGGCACTTCTCGACAAAACTGGCTTGGTGACCTCCGTCTTTGGCCAATCCGAAAAGCTGCCGCAGCTCATCCTCGCCCAACTCATCGATACCTCGCTTGACTCCACGTCCGTCGACTGGACCGTCGGCTGGCTGGTCAGCAGGTGCGCGAACATGGCTACCAGGATCAGTGGCAGGACCAGGCTGGGCATCCTCAGTCTCCATGGGCTCAGACTTGGCGGGGGTATTCGCAGCCGACGCCTCGCGGAGTTTGCCCCAAAGCGGCGACTGGAGGAATGCCTGAAGGTCCTGATCATCAACTTCTTCAGCCTTGACATCAAACGCATCTGGAGAGAAACTTGAAGCTGCGCCTGGGGACTTGCCACCGACAGCCGATGCGGTGGAATCGAGCTCGCGCTGCAAGGCAATGGTATCCTGTTTCTTTGCCTCGAGAGCAGTGCTTTTTGCTTTCGAGACTCTCGCGCAGCTTTGCGAGCTGCTCCTCTTTCTCTGTGATCTCTTTTTCAATGCGAATCTGTGCTTGCCTGGCTTTCTGTAGGTCCTGCGCCGCGCGACGGTGTGCGACAGTTGGAGGTCGTAGCCCTTGTTGCAGCAGCTTGATATGATCAATCTTGCCCTGGATCTGCGCGCGGAGGTCTGCCCAAGCGCCTCCAGAAGGTAGTGTCTTGAGCGAGGCCTCAAAGCTGGCAAGCTGTGCAGCATAGATGGCTCGTTTATCTGCATCGGTGTCGTCGGCCTTCGGCTCAGCAGCGGCCTGGGCATCGGGCGCTGCCGCCCATGGAGCGCGGGTGAACCTCAGCTTGTCAGCCGTTGGCTCGGTGCCCTGGCCCGCGCGGAGCGCATCTGCGATCGTCTTCTCGAGGGCCGCCATCCGCTTCCAAAGGTCGTCACTGCCTGGCGCCTGCGGTCGGCGACCGCCTCCAGCACCAGCCTGCCGCGCCTGGGCGTTGGCGTCCCAGGTCTTCTGCTGCTTGATCGCTCTGACCTTGATGCGGTTCCGCGCCTCATTGCCGCAGGCGCACCGAATGCGGCATGCCCACTGGGCGCTCGCCGAGCAGCGCCGGCACGCCCGCGTGGGTCGACGAGGTCCGCGGAGGACAGGCGGCTGCGGCGGCGGCACCATGAGGGCTGTTGTCGCAGGGCCGCTCTCGGCTCGCCCTGGACAGGGATAGCACAAGAGAGGCGCCGACTGCCTCGCTGGAGGCAGGTTCGAAGTTCGAAGGCCCCTGAAATTGAATGAGCTGGGCGTGGGGGCCCAACTCCCACTGTGAAGGCACGAAAGATCGACGTCTGGCCGCGGACTAGCGGTATCCGTACTGTCGCCAGGGGAACAAGTCATCTTGAGCCAACATGGCTACGGACGGACAGGGACGGAGGGAATGAGGAGGACGAGGAGGGGAGGACGATGAGGAGGAGGAGGACGAGGAGCAGGAGGAGGAGCAGGAGGAGCAGGAGGAGCAGGAGGAGGAGATTGAGGAGGAGAAGCAGCAGGAGGAGGAGGAGCAGGAGGAGGAGGAGGAGGAGGAGGAGGAGGAGGAGGATTACCAGGATTACCGCCATCACAAGAGTGACTCAACCACGACACCGCCTGAACGCGATAAGCACCGAGGCCAGGCGGCCCACCCGTGGGGCACGCCTGAGAAGCTGGAGGCACACGAACAAATTCGTGATACCGCCCAATGAGTCCCTCCATCATTATGATGTTCACTCCTTCCAGTCCAAAACACTACGAGCGGAAAACCAGTGGCACGCACCTTGGCGCGCCGCGCGCATCACGCATCTTGGCGTGCCGCGCGTTCTGACAATTCCGAGGCGGCGGGCGCACTGCCTTCAGATTACGACACGTTCATTGCGTGCCGCCCCGATAAGCCCCCACCCGAGGGGCGCCACTCCCACGGGCGACAAACACACCCCCACGCACGGCAGGGCGGGGGACCCTGACCGTGGGAAGGATGTGAATCCAGCAAAAGGCGTCACGGAACATGTTTCTTCCTCCCTGGCCCCTACGAGCAAACAGGGTCGAAGGTCGGGCTGCAACCCGCCTTTTTCCTGGGAAGGGCACCCAGTGGCACAGGTGCCGAGGAGGAGGAGGAGGAGGAGGAGGAGGAGGAAGAGGAGGAGGCGGGGGGGAGGGAGGAGGAGGAGGAGGAGGAAGAGGAGGAGGATGAGGAGGGAGGAGGAGGAGGAGGAGGAGGAGGGGGAGGAGGAAGAGGAGGGAGGAGGAGGAGGAGGAGGAGGAGGCGGAGGCGGGGCGGAGGCGGAGCGGAGGAGGAGGAGGAGGAGGAGGAGAGGAGGAGGCGGAGGAGGAGGAGGAGGAAGAGGAGGAGGAGAAGGAGGAGGAGCAGAAGGAGAGGGAGGAGCAGGAGGAGCAGGAGGAGGAGCGAGCGAGCAGAAGCGTCGAGAAGCGGGGAGGAAGGTGGGGAACCTCCCAACGCCACATCAGCCCAATACTCGTTCCAGAGGCCGCGACTCTTGGCTGCGGGCCGCCGCCACCGCAAGCGCCCGCGCCGCCCTCGGGCGGCCTTTTGTCCCCCGTCGGAGCCCCGACCAACATGCGCCCGCAGCCGCCCCCCTCAGGAGCTCCCCCAGAGAGTCCTGATCCTCACCCCATCGGATCGGCTCTCGATCCAGAAACCCGTACGTGCCACACGCAGAAGGGGGTTGGGGGGGTGGGTATGGCTTCTGAGAAGCACCCGTGCTTCTCAGAAGTTGCCTTTTTCTATAGGTGCAGGGCCGCCGCCTTCTGAGAAGCAGCCTCCTAAGAAGCCGATCCTTGTCCCTTTATCCCCTTGTGCGCGCCGCCAACCGAAGAGCGCACAGCACATCACAGCGCCCCGCGTCTCGACCCTTCTCTTTCGCAGCGCAGCGCATGAAGCCACAGGGAGCGTGTCTGCAGATGTGCGCACAGACGCAGGCGCTGTCCGCTGCCCGCTCTCTTTCATTGTCGTCTGGCCAGTTTGGCTGGAACTTCAGGGAAAACGTGGGAGTGCCCAATCTTGCGGGCATCTCGTAGTGGTTGTGCGTCCCGCGCCTCTAACGCATGCAGCCTGTCATTCCTCAACCCCCCATCCTCCCGCCTCGCGGGCCAACCGCAACTCTGTCAGAGTCGCTCCGTGGGCCCCTCCAGTGGGTCCATCTATTGCCAGGTGTTCGGCCCGCGTGCGGTTGCAGCTGCGAGAGCCTCCTATGGACCGCCCGCGAACCTCCAAACCGACAGTGTCGGCACTACGGTGCCGGCGACGGCGTCGACGCTGTCGACGGCGGCGACGACGAAGATTGGGGAGGAACAGGAGGAGGAGGAAGAGGAGGAGGAGGAGGAGGCGGAGGAGGGGGGGCCTCCCCCAGAAAGTCCGATGGCGTCGCTCCGCCCTCGCGGCGCGCGCACCCTTGGGCGCCAGGCGGCTGGCCAAGGGCGGTCCGCCCAAGGGCGCCGGGAAGGCCGCGCGCGGCAAGGGCGTCGCCCGCAGCAAGGGCGGCAAGGGCGCCGGGAAGGCAGCGGGCCCCGCCTCGGAGCCCAGGGCTGCGGCTGATTGTTTTTATTCGGTGCTCGCTCCGTCCCACCCTTTTTTCTGCTGCGCCCTCCCCCGCTCCTCCACTTGCATGGTGGCAATATTCGCTTTGACGGCATCCCCGCTTAAGCGTCTCACCGCCAGCGCAGACGTCAGCCGACGCAAAAATGTTTTGTTGGGTGGCGGCGTTCTTCCTCGAGGTCGGAGGCCTAGAGGTTGGGGGGGCAAGTCTGCCTGCTCCTAGAGTCCTAGAAGACCACAATATGTCGGGCCTCTGCCAGATTCTGTCCTCACTTTCTAGCCACGAGCGTCTATGGGCACATGGGGCGTCGCTGCACACATGTACATGCATATGTGTATGTATGTATGTATGCATGCATGCATGCATGCATGTATGTATGTATGTATGTATGTATGTATGTATGTATGTATGTATATAGACACGCGGGATGAATACGTTTACAGACAGCGCGTCCGTTGCGCTCGGCTCAATCCAGGGTGGGACAAAGAGTAGATGAGTACACTGTATTTGCCTGTATTAGAGCAGGTCCCACATGGTACTCCAACCCAGAGGTTGGCACCAACATTGATATACCGACGGTGTGCCTCCCACCGAGGGAAGAGGATCCCGGTCTCGGTGGTTTCGGATTCCTTTGGTGTTGGGTTGGTGCCCATTCCCAGGCCTCCAGCGATGTCAGCCACCTTGGCCAGAGAGCACCGGGGGCCGCTCTCGGGGCCCGGGGCCGCGCAGAAGACTTGTCCCTCTGAGAGCTTGGGCGTCGCAAGACGTGACGTTTTACGTGGCTGTGACCAGCCGGGGGTGCCCGTTCTCCTTCCTGTTTCCTCCCCTCTCTCTCTCTCTCTCCCCCTTGACTGCGGCCCATTGGGGCTCACGGGGCCTTACAGGCCCCAGGCGCCCGGGGCCCGGGGGGGAGAAAGATCCAGATCACACTTGGATTTTGAACAAAATACAAAGGAAGATCACCACTGGACGTTTAAGATCCTAACTGGACGGTCCATATACCAGCTGGTAATGAAACCAGAGCGGTCCAGCATCCCAACCATTACTTCAGCATCTAAGCGCTCTAAGCGCTTGATAGGCGCTACATACGCGTGTGTGTGTGTGTGTGATAGGCGCTACATCGGCTCTTGGTCGGCGTTTTTTTTGAAGGTGCCCCCTCGGTTTCGTGAAGGACTCCCGCGGGTTCCGTTACGGCTTCCTGAACATCCCTAGGGATTCCTCAGAATGTGAGGGTTTCCTGAAGGATGGTTGAGGGATCCCTGAGGATTTCAGAGGAATTCCTGAAGGATTCCTGGAGGGATCCCTGGGGATTCTTAAGGGACTCCTCCGGATTCCCAAGGGTTCCCGAAGAATTTCTGAGGATTCCGGAGAAGGGTCAGGTGAGAAATCGGCGGCCCTCCCGACCGAGGAGGGGGCGGAAAAATTAATGCGGAGGAAGGGCGGCGATGTCTGAGCCGGTTCTCCCCCCGTGTTCACACTGATGGTGTTTGTCGCGCAAATGGCCGACGCTGCCGCCGTGGTCGTTGCCCGTTGCGCTCTATGTGGTTCCAGCGGCCTCTGACTGTGGCGCCGCTCCAGGGGGGCCTGGTTACCCCAGGCCTGATCGAGAGCCTCCTTTTCCTGCGCGCAAAGCGGTTAGGGCAGTTCTGCGCGCGCTTCTCGGAACCCTCGTTTGTGTCCCCCGCCCGCTGGCGTGTGCTCCATTTGCCTTGGAGTCCAGCCGCAGAGATCGAGAGAGCTGGGTCTGACATAACACCCATGTCTATATACATATATGTATATATATATATATACATATATATATATAATGTACACATGTGTGTGGTTACCGATTTCGGCGATGTCATTTTCCCTTTGCCCCTCGTCAGCGATGTACGCATTTCACCACTGGGGTTTGGCTTGCCCCGCTCGGCGGGATTCGCAGTGGCCCTGAATCCCACTGCACGGCGTGGTGCAGGCTCGGCGGGGATTTCCATCCGATCGACATGGGGTCCGACCTGATTCTGGTAATTTCAGGCCCGTTTTGAGGAGGGGGGAGGAGGGACACAGCTGGAGGAGGAGGAGGAGGAGGAGGAGGAGGTTTGGCTTTCGGCATCCCCTGCGTTACCTCATGAACAATGTCAGCCAGCGTGGACCCCATACCGTGGAGTCTTGCCATCGACGCGGTGCAACCTGGGTGGTGTAATGCACGTGGTTCAATCCGCTCTGCTGAATTTGAAGTCGTCATCTCCATTGCTCGCGCAAACATCCCACCCTCCCACCCGCAACTTGTTTGGCAAAACTCATGATGCGGGGGGCGGCGGCGCCACCGATGACGACATCGATGATCACATCCTCACCGTCGATGCTCGTCAGCGTGAGTGGATGATGAAGGTGAGCATTTCGACGATACTCGGACGTGCGCGATAACAAGATGACGTCGGCAACGTCTGCGACAGTGACGAAGATGACACCAACGACGACGATGTTCAAGAGGGCGACGGCACGAAGGATACCGGCGCCAATGATGGCAAACACGTTGACGATGTTGATGTCCATCTATCGATGAGGCAGAAATCGCGGTGGCGCTGACAAGGTTGGACCGGGAATCTGCGCGCGCGGAAGTTCAGCAAATCCGTCAGACTGGGATTCCTGCCCTCGGCGCATGACCGGAGCATCGCGGGCGCGCCCCGCGGTGACATGAAACCGTTGGATTTGGCATAATTCATGCGAGCCCGAAGGGTTTTGTTCAGTTGAGCGGAAGATCGGGGCAAATCGGAACCAGAGATTCTGGGAGAGTTCCAGAGAAAAATAGAACGCCGATTTGCGGAGCGTAGCGCGCGCATTCGCAGAAGTTCCCAAAGAGAGTTCGAGGGCTTGAGGGGCCCAAGTAACACATGGGCGCTCAATTAAACTGTTGAGGGCGGGCAGAAAATCTGGTGCGCACGAGCATTGTGAGCGGGTGCGCGGCTTGCACGGGGGGCGCAGTAGGTTTGCGTTTCAGGGGCTTGGGCGCTGGCCCATGCGCTGATGGGGGGCCCGAGAATGCGTCGCACATATCGCGCCTGTGGCGCCATGGAGGCCGCATTTGCGGTTGCAGTTGGGCGGGCGCCCCGCCGCGCGCACCGCGGCGACAGTTCTCTTGGGCGCCCGCCCGCCGCCGTGGACGTAGTGGACCTTGCCAGTCTCTCGGTCGGCGCGCGGCGGGTCGGCAGCCACGACGCTGGCGGCCTGGCAATGCTTCGAAAGTGTTTCTCCCCGAGCCCGGGGCTATTGCGCATTGTCGGTGGCACGTGCAGCTCGGAGAAAAATCGCCTTGTCCGTCGGCGGCCAGTTGACTGTCGTCGCGCAGAAGTGCCGGCGGATGGCGCGGTCCACGCTCAGCGCGGAGAGCGTGTCCATGAGCGTGGACTCGTCGAGGGGCAGGAGGAAGGACCTCGCGGTCAGGACCATCGCGGCCCGCGATGTCCACGGCCCCCACCCTGGGCGCGCGAGGACCTGCTGGGCGCCGCCGCAGCGCGATTTCAGAGAATCTCGGAACCAGATATCCGGGCGCGCCAAATTTCGCGGGCCGAAAAACTCTCAGAGAGTTTCGGCCAGCTCCGAGGTTTTGGGTTTATGGGAATGTTTCACGCGGGGTGGCTAGTTCAGAGATTTTCAGAGATTCTCAGAGAAGTTCGGACGCGAGAATTTGGCGCGCCCCGGTTTCTGGTTCCGTGAATATCCGACAGGCGGTTCCTTAGGTTTTACCGGGCATCTAGGCGTCCTATTGTCAACCAGAGACGAGCGACTGGCTGGCGCCGCGCCCGATGCTTCTGGAGTTGCGAACTCGGTCTCCGATTCCCTGGGGCCCGCGGGCCCCTGGGCCAATCGCGAGGTTGCCGAGGCCCCCAGGCGGTTGCGCGCGCTTGTCTCGGAAACCGGAGTTGGGCATCCATGGTGGACGCCCGCGCGTACGTGCTAGGTGTCCGCGAGATTGTTCGGTGGCGGATCTTGCATGGCGCGGGGACTTTCCAACGACTTTCCGGGGTGTTCTCTACGGTTATTTCGGCGCGCTTCGGGAACCTTGGGGCGGCGCGGGGAAGTCGCCCGGCCGCGCGCGGGATTTTTTCCGATGCCTTCTTGGGCATTATCGCGGTGTTGCGTGGCCGACGAGGTCACTGAGTAACGCGCTGTTTGGCATTTTCGTGTTTTTTGTTCGTTGCGTCGGTTGCGTGACTGTTTTGGCGGTCCGCCTCCTTGGGGCCCCCTTGGGGCCTCAAGTTTGTTTTGTTGACGTCGGGCCTTCTGGAGTGAAAGACGCTTGGCGCTGAATTCCCTCGGGCGAGCGCGTGGCCAAAGACGCGCCGTGGCTTCGTCCGCGCCGGGGCGCATTCCTTCCCTCGCGAAGCCGATGGCGCCCAAGGCGTGGCAGGCCCGTTCGGCGGCGCCCCCGGTGATTTGAAAAACCGAGCGTGGTTTTTATCCCGGTCAAATTTTGCCCCGATCCCGGTTTCATCTTATTTGTTTGATTTTAGCACGCGCGGGCACGACATTTGCGAACTTTGCGTTGCACAGCCCTTGGTTTTTATGCTGAAATGTTTGCGAGCACATTGTGTTCGGTGCGATTTTGACATGGACGCGCGAGTGGGGATTTCTGTTTCGGCGAGGCATTGTTGACATTTGCTTTCTTAAGATGAGGACGCGTGCGCGCGTAGTATATTGTAAGGGGGGGGGGGGGGAATGCCTGCCTGGCTGGGGTAGTGCGACGTCATATCTAGTGTGGGCGAGTGTGCATAATTAAAATGAAATTACAATACCCCAAGGGGGGGCGTTAACTCGGGGGGGGGGGGGGGGGGGGGGGTATTCTTCTAGCAAAGAAAATGTAGGTGGCGCAACCCACGTGGTGCAATCTACACGCGGCGAAAAATCAGCACGACGAAATGCAACGCAGCGCAAGCCAGCGCAAATCAGGGCAAAACAATGCAACGTAATTCAACGCAGTGCAAACCAATGCAAGACGATACAAACCGATGCGCGGCGATGCAAAGCAATGTAATGCGACGCAAGCGACGTAAAGCAACGCAGCGCGATGCCATGCGATCCAGCGCAACGCGAATCAATATGAAACGATGCAGAGCAATGCAAAGCAGCGCGACGCAATTCAACGCAACCGAAGCCAATGCAAAGCAACGCAATGTAAGGCGCAACAGTGCAATGCGATACCACGCGATGCAAAACATTGCCAAGCGGTGCCATGCGATGCAGAGCGACGCACAGCAATGCAAAACAATGCACAGCGATGCAACGCAACCCGAACCAGTGCAATGCGATGCAAAGCGACGCAAAGCATTGCAGAGCGGTGCAAAGCGATGCAACGCGATGCGAAACAATGCAAAACAACGCGGGGCCAGCCGGACCACCATTGGGGCCCAACGGCGACGGCGCCGACGCGCGGCGACAAACCGTCCGGGCCGCCACTGGGGCCCAGCTACCGTATAACACAAATAAGGGCCCCTGATTGCAAACAGTGTTTGGGTAATATCTCGGCGCATTGACTAGTGGGCGCTATCGGTGCACCCTGGCAGGTGGAAAACATTCAGGTCCATCTGTGGTTTCGCCCTGCAGCAAAGGAGTGCGTAGGTTGCTGCCGTTGCTGCTGATGTCCAAACGTTGCCCCTTCTCATCCCCGCCCATTCCCCCGTTTCTGCAATTCTAGACGCTTCGCGTAACCCCATTAGCCCATCTAGAAACGATGCCCAGAGGAATGGCCTCGATCAGGGAGGTGGGCTACACACAGACGAAGGGTCACCCAATGGAGGCCTCTTGGGGCGTCTTGGGGGCCTCTTAGAGCGCCTTGGGAGCCTCGGAGAGATTGGGGTTTCTTGGGGGGTATCTTGGGAGCCCCTTGGAGGCCTCTTTGGCGCCTGTTGGGGTCTCCTGGGGCCTCCTGGGCGCCTCGTGGGCCCCTCTTGAACCGCAGTTGGGAGCCTTGGGAGCGCTCTTGGGGCCATCTTCGAGGACATCGATCAAACAAAAGGGGAGCATATATTAGCGCTCCCCGTCGGGAGCCCCAAAGTCGCCTCTCGGGGTGCGTTCTTGGGCGCTCTTGGGGCCGTCTTGGGGCCCTCTTGGGCCATTTTGGAACCATCATGAGGCTTCGCATGGCCATCGGAAGCGAAAGGGCGAGAAAACCAACAATATTTATTTTCCAAAGGTATTGGAAAGATTCTGGCCTCTTCGGGGCCTCCTGGGGGGAGCATTTTGGCCACTTGGAGCCGTTTTGGAGCGGTTTTTGGGCCTCTTGGAGCATCGTGTGGGCCATCTTGAGGCATCTTGGGGTATTTTGAGCTATCTTGGAGGTCATCTTGGGCTCTCCCAGGCGCTCTTGGAGTCATCTCGGTCAGTGGAGGCCAACATGTGTCCACAATTTTGAGTAAAATCGATGATTTTGGCTTTCTCGCCGAGGCCTCTTTGAGCGTCTTGGGTGCCTCTGGGGGGCCTCTTGGGGGTCTCTTGGGAGCCTCTTGGGGGCCTTGGGGGGGCCTCTAGGGGCCTCCTGGCCACCTCTTGGGGCCCTCTTGGGGCACCCTTGGGAGTCTTGGGAGCGTTTTTGGGGCCATCCGAGAGGAGATCGATCAAAGAAGGGGGGTTCCCAATCAGCCTCGCCCCCCCCCCCCCCCCCCCCCCCAGGAAACCAAACAGGGGCCAACACCTAGGTAAAACCAATAATTTTGGATTCCTCGCCGAGGTTGTCTTGGACGCTCCGCCTACCCGCGGAACCCTTCGTCCAGGTCCAGGAGAGGGGTAGGGGGGGGGGTCAATGCACCCTCTCCGCACGCAAGCTGTCTAGTCTCGGCATAGCCAGAGGTCGCCGCTGGATGGACAGCCACTGCGAACCAAAGCGGACGCCAGGTGCGCGACGCTCGCCGCGGTCTCCACATGCGGTTGGTTTGCCATCCTTGTAAAAACGTGATGCCCCCCCCCCGTCCGCATGGTCCAGATGCTGATGTGGGGGGCGTCAGTGGAAGCATCATCATGCGGGCACCACCGCCGTCCCTGTAAAAAACAATACACATTGATCGCGGGTGGCCAGCACAATACCCACGACAGTGTCGCAACGTGCACTGCGCATTGTTTTTGATACGGATGGTGGTCCTGCACAAGGCGGCTTCACCAAGGGTGCCCCGCCATCCCTGTCAAAAAAACAATACAACGTGCTCACAGGGTGCCAGCGCACTGTCCAGACTTTGCTGGGGTGTTGGTTGGGTGGGTCCCGCAATGTGCGTTTCGTATTGTTTTTGACAGGGATGGTGGGGGGGGGGGCCCTCATGGTGCTCTCATGGTTCGGGTTGGCTGCTGGCTGGGTGGGGGAGGGGGTGTTTATTAATAGGGAACAGTGATACACCCCTCTCCGAAGGGGAAGAGGGAGGAGCGGAAGAGGAAGCTCCCTAAACCACTTTACGCCCTGGTGGGATTTCCTCTATTCTCTATTCTCTCTTCCACGTCCTCCTCCTCCTTCTCCTCCTCCTTCTCTTCCTCCTCCTCTTACTCCTCCTCCTCCTCCCCTTGGCCACTTCAGAGTCGCAAGCAGGCATCGCTGCTTCGTGATACGACTGGCTCCAAGCGAGCGTCTTTGTCCTCTGTCCTCTTCCTCTTCCTGCGTCTTTCTCCCGCTCTTCCTTCCATTCCTCCCCGGCCTCCCTCGCGCCTCCGCCCATCTTCGGTGCCTTCGAGCCGCGGTGGCCGTCCAGCAGGCTGGCGCTCTCCGCCGGCTTCGCCTCGCAGGCGCGCCGCCTGTCTATTGCGTCGCGCGCGGTGGTGCGCGGCCGCCTCGCGGGCCGCCGTCGCGCGCCAGTCCCATCCCGCGGCCCCCGGGGCCCCGAGCCGAAGCGAAGACGACGACGGCGACGGCGACGGCGACGACGGCGGCGACGGCGACGGCGACGGCCACTTCGCCCAGCCGCCCCCGCGCCAGGCCAGACGGCGGGCCTCCGGCGCTCTCGCCCTCGCGGGCGCCCCGCGGGAGCAGCCGGCCAGGCGCGCGGCCGGCGCCTTGCGAGACGGCGTTCGGCGCTGAACGTCGGCCACGCGCAGAGGGGGGTCGTCCTCCTCCTCGTTGTCGTCCTCCTCCTCCTCCTCCTCCTCCTCCTCCTCCTCCTCCTCCTCCTCCTCCTCCTCCTCTCCCTCCTTCCAGAGCGTTCCAGAACGCTCTCAGAGCGTTCTGGAACGCTCTGAGAAGGCCGCGGTGCCCGATGCGTCCCCCAGAACCGCCGGATCTCAGAGATTCTCGATTTATCCTCACCCAGTGACATCCTCATTCTGGCTTCGTCTTCATGAGGAGGGGGGAAGTCTTCTTAGAAGCACCCCTGCTTCTTAGAAGGCGCGGTCCTTGTCTATAGATGCAAGGCCGGCGCCTTCTGAGGAGCAGCCTCCTTCTAATAAGCCTTCCCCCCTCCCTTTACCCCCCACTGCGCTCCGCCAAGGACCAATCCCTATCGCCTATGCCCATGCCTATCCCTATCCAGACACCCACCATCTCAGCACCCCAATTGGGAATATACCCCTCAAAGCCCGAAAGAAGCACGGCTAGACGCAGCTCGGGAAATCGGTGCGTTTAGGCCCCGGGATTAGTCCAGGGACCGATGTTGAGGTGCCGTTGACTCAACTCGCCCTGCTCCGATGGGTCGCGAGCGAGGGGGGAAAATGAGAAGGAGAAGGCCTTCTCAGAAGGCCGCGGGACTTCTCAGAAGCCCTCGCGCCTCCTGATAAGTTTTCGGTGTGTTCGGGGAAGGCTTAGAAAACTTCTTCTCAGAAGGCCGGGGGACTTCCGAGTCTTCCGAGAAGGCCCTCTCCTTCTCACTTCCCGCCCTGGCTTTCCTCGTTCCTGCGGCCCGGAGCTCCACCGAAGGCGCCAGTAGCAAAGTGCGCATGGCGGCCTCGGGCCATTTCGGCACACCCCTCACGAGGATCGTGGCCCCATAGGAGCTCCACCGAAGGCGCCAGTAGCAAAGTGCGCATGGCGGCCTCGGGCCATTTCGGCACACCCCTCACGAGGATCGTGGCCCCATAGGAGCTCCACCGAAGGCGCCAGTAGCAAAGTGCGCATGGCGGCCTCGGGCCATTTCGGCACACCCCTCACGAGGATCGTGGCCCCATAGGAGCTCCACCGAAGGCGCCAGTAGCAAAGTGCGCATGGCGGCCTCGGGCCATTTCGGCACACCCCTCACGAGGATCGTGGCCCCATAGGAGCTCCGCCGAAGGCGCCAGTAGCAAAGTGCGCATGGCGGCCTCGGGCCATTTCGGCACACCCCTCACGAGGATCGTGGCCCCTTAGAGAGCTGCACCGAAGGCGCCAGTAGCAAAGTGCGCATGGCTTCCTCGGGCCATTCGGGCACACCCCGCGCGAGGATCGTGGCCACATATACGGAGCTTCACCGAAGGCGCCAGTGGCAGGGTTCGCATGGCGGCCTCGGGCCATTTCGGCACACCCCTCACGAGGATCGTGGCCCCATAGGAAGCTCCACCGAAGGCCCCCAGTGGCAGGGTTCCAATGGCGGCCTCGGGCCATGTCGGCACCCCATGGCGGCCTCGGGCCATGTCGGCACACCCCTCACGAGGATCGTGGCCCAATAGTTGTGCTGCTTCAACAACCGCGCCTGGGCGTCGTACTCCGCCTTCTCGACGTGCACCGACACCTCCTCCCTCACGGCTCTCAAAGCCCTCTCGTGCTTCTGCTCCTCGGTCAGTGGGACGCCGTCCTCGTCGTCGTCGGCGCCCGCGGAGACGGCCACGAACGTGTTCCTGAGCATGTCGGGCTCTGGCGGGAAGCCGTGGTCACATAGGGAGCGCGGGCGAAGATGGTATTCAGAATTGCGGTATTCACAACTGCATATGGTTGGGTCCTTCGCCAGGCTAATTTCCCGCCCCGCGTTCCTTGCTCCTCCCGCTGCCCCCTCCCTCCTCCTCGCATCATCGTCATCATCATCATCATCATCATCATCTTCATCATCATCATCATCGTCAGCGTCATCATCATCATCATCATCATCATCATCATCATCATCAGCATCGCCATCATCACCATCACCATCATCATCATCACCCTCGCGAGGATCGTGGCCCCGTAGGAAACTCCACCGCAGGCGCCAATAGCAAAGTGCGCATGGCGGCCTCGGGCTATTCCGGCACACCCCTTACGGGTGCCGTGGCCCCATAGGAGCTCCACCGAAGGCGCCAGTAGCAAAGTGCGCATGGCGGCCTCGGGCCATTTCGGCACATCCCTCACGAGGATCGTGGCCCCATAGGGAGCTCCACCGAGGGCGCCAGTAGCAAAGTGCGAATGGCGGCTTCGGGCCATTTCGGCACACCCTTCACGAGGATCGTGGCCCCATAGGAGCTCCAGCGAAGGCGCCCGTAGCAAAGTGCGCGAGGCGGCCTCGGGCCATTTCGGCACACCACTCACGAGGATCGTGGCCCCATAGGAGCTCCACCGAAGGCGCCCGTAGCAAAGTGCGCATGGCGGCCTCCGGCCATTTCGTCACACCCCTCACGAGGATCGTGGCCCCATAGGATCTCCGCCGAAGGCGCGAGTAACAAAGTGCGCATGGTTGCCTCGGGCCATTTCGGTACACCCCTAACGAGGATCGTGGCCCCATAGGAAGCGTTGGCGTCGTACTCCGCCTTCTCGACGCGCATCGACTCTCAAAACCCTCTCCTGCTTCTGCTCCTCGGTCTGAGGGACGCCGTCCTTGTCGTCGTCGGCGCCCGCGAAGACGGCCACGAACGTGTTCCTGAACATGTCGGGTTCCGGCGTGAAGCCGTGGCCACACAGGGAGCGCGGGCGAAGATGGTATTCACAATTGCGGTATTCATAACTGCATATTGATGGGTCTTTGGCCAGGCTAAACATTAGATGTGGTTGTTTTTGCTCCCAACCATCCTGTGGTGTTGGGTCCTCGTTTTGGAAAGACAGCGCCCTGCGTCCCTCCCTCCTTCCTTCCTTCCCGCCTCCTCCTCGTCCTCCTTCCTCCCTGCGTTTCACCCACGCAGTGCACCGCTGAGTGGCCCATAGGGAGCTCCACCGAAGGCCCCAGCGACAGGGTTCTTATGGCGGCCTCGGGCCATTCCTGCACACCCCCTGACGAGGATCGTGGCCCCATGGGAACCCAAAAACCCCAGTGGCAGGGTTCGCGTGGCGGCCTCCGGCCATTTCGGCACACCCCTCACAAGGATCGTGGCCCCATAGGGGGCTCCACCGAAGGCGCCACTGGCAGGGTTCGCATGGCGGCCTCGGGCCATGTCGGCACACCCCTCACGAGGACCGTGGCCCCAACACCCCTCACGAGGATCGTGGCCCCATAGGAGCTCCACCGAAGGCGCCAGTGGCAGGGTTCGCATGGCGGCCTCGGGCCATTTCCGCCATCACGAGGATCGTGGCCCCATAGGGAGCTCCACCGAAGGCGCCAATGGCAGGGTTCGCATGGCGGCCCCGGGCCATTTCGGCAAACCCCTCACGAGGATCGTGGCCCCATAGGCAAATCCACCGAAGGCGCCAGTGGCAGGGTTCGCATGGCGGCTTCGGGCCATATCGGCACACCCCTCACGAGGATCGTGGCCCCATAGGGAACTCCACGGAAGGCGCCAGCGGCAGGGTTCGCATGGCGGCCCCGGGCCATTTCGTCACACCCCTCGCGAGGATCGTGGCCACATAGGAGCTCCACCGAAGGCGCCAGTGGCAGGGTTCGCATGGCGGCCTCGGGCCATTTCGGCACGCTCCTCACGAGGATCGTGGCCCCATAGGGAGCTCCACCGAAGGCGCCATGAGCAAAGTGCGCATGGCGGCCTCGGGCCATGTCGGCACACCCCTCACGAGGATCGTGGCCCCATAGGAGCTCCACCGATGGCGCCAGTAGCAAAGTGCGCATGGCGGCCTCGGGCCATTTCGGCACACCCCTCACGAGGATCGTGGCCCCATAGGGAGCTCCACCAAAGGCGCCAGTAGCAACGTGCGCATGGCGGCCTCGGGCCATTTCGGCACACCTCTCACGAGGATCGTGGCCCCATAGGAGCTCCACCGAAGGCGCCATCGTGGCCCCATGGGGAGCTCCACCGGATGCGCCAGTGGCAGGGTTCGCATGGCGGCCTCGGGCCCTTCGGGCACACCCCTCACAAAAGGGTCGTGGCTCCATAGGGAGCTCCACCGAAGGCGCCAGCGGCAGGGTTCGCATGGCGGTCTCGAGCCATTACGGCACACCGTTCACGAGGTTCGTGGCCCCATAGGGAGCTCCACCGAGGGCGCCAGTGGCAAAGTTCGCATGGCGGCCTCGGGCCATTTCGGCACACCCCCATCACGAGGATCGTGGCCCCATAAAGAACTCCACCGAATGCCCCACTGGCAGAGTTCGCATGGCGGTCTCGGGCCCGTTCGGAACACCCCTCACGAGAATCGTGGCCCCATAGGAACCCCACCGAAGGCGCCAGTGGCAAGGTTCGCATGGCGGCCCCGTCCCATGTCGGCGCACCCCTCACAAGGACCGTGGCCCCATGGGAACTCCACCGAAGGCGCCAGTAGCAACGTTCGCAAAGCGGCCCCGCCCCAGTTCGGCATACCCCTCACGAGGATCGTGTCCCCAGACAGCTTCTCCACCGCCCCATTTCGGCACACCCCCATCACGAGGATCGTGGCCCCAAAAGGAGCCCCACCGATGGCGCCAGTGGCAGAGTTCGCATGGCGGCCTCGGGCCATTCGGGCATACCCCTCACACGGCTCGTGGCCTCGTGGGGAGCTTCACAGAAGGCGCCAGTGGCAGGGTTCGCATGGCGGCCTCGGGCCATTTCGGCACACCCTTCACACGGGCCGTGTCCTCATAGGGAGCTCCACCGAGGGCCTCATAGAACGATGGGCCCAGAATGCGATATCCACAATTGCTTACATATGGTTCGGTCGCTCGTCAGGTTAATTATTTCCTCTCTCTCTCTCTTGTTCTCTCTCTATCTCTCTCGATGTCTTTCTCTCTTTCTCTCTCGCTCTTTCTCTCGTTCTGTATGTATATACATATATAGAGAGATAGTATTGTATAGCAGTGGAGCAATACATACATACATACATACATACATACAAATATGTATGTGTTTGTATGTTTGTATGTATGTATGTATGTATGTATGTATGTATGTATGTATGTATGCATGCATGCATGTATGTATGTATGTATGTATGTATGTATGTAGGTATGTGTGTATGTATGTATGTATGCATGCATGCATGCATGCATGTATGCATGTATGTATGCATGTATGTATGTATGTATGTATACACATATGTAGGTATAAACGTATAACATATATAGATGCGTATACATATATATATATATATATATATATATATATGTATACATTTATATCATAAATCATATACCGGGGTACCTGGGGCCAGGGCCCCGGGCCGGGACACCCTCCCGAATTCCCCCCCCCCCGTAACCCACTTTGCCCCCGGGCGTCCGGAGGCTCTCTTGCGCCCTCGGAGGCGTCCACCACGGCTTCCGGGGACGGCAAGAAGCCGCCAAGACGGCCCAAGAGCGCTCCAAGACTCTCAAGATAGCCCCATCAATGTTTTTTGCTTGCCCGCGTTTTCGGGCGTCTGACCTTCCAAGATTGCTGAGGAAGCCTCGAACATCGCCCCAAGACGGTCCAAAAGGCCCCCGAGAGGCCCCCAAGACAGCCCAAGAGAGCGCCCAAACGGTCCCAGAGGCGCCCAAGACGGCCCAAGAGGGCTTCAAGACGGCCCCAAGAGGTGCCAAAGAGGGGGAACACGAACCGACAATGGAGACTTCCGTCCAATAGGCCCCCAAGAGGCCACCAAGAGGCCCCAAGAGGCTTAAAAATGCCCCCGGCAGAGACCCCAAAGAGGCCCCAAGATGCCCCAAAACGGCCCCCCGGAGGCCAGGTGCCCGGAGGAAGGCCCCAAGGGGGTCCAAGGTGGTCCACAAACAAGACACGCTTGAAAGTTCTCGCGTGACTTGAGGTCGCGGCCTGCTGTAGTCGTTCAAGGCCTTCTTGGCGCCCTCCCAGGGCCTCTCCTGGAACCGCCGTCCTTCTCCTCTCCCCTTTCCTCCGAAAAGTCTCCGACGCTGGGGCATCGGTTCCATTTTTTATATTCCCTCTTCTCTCTCTCGCCCCCCTCCCCTCAGTCCCTCCGTGCCCGCTCCCCCATACAGATGGCCTCGCTTGATCGAATAATCATCTTGCACGGCGTGAGCTCCACAGTGAGATGGGCCGCAAACACCCAACGATACCCTGGACGAACCCCCGGCGGCGCCCAAGAGACCCTTCTCTGTTGGGGCCAGGCTCATGTTGATTTTTCAAACCATGCTGAAGCCATTCGTCGGTACGTGCATTCGTGCAGCCGTGACTTTGTCAATGCGCGCAGCCGTGGAATGGTCAAGCGCCTGCGCTTGCTAGAACTTAAGCGCGCGCGAAGCGCGCGCGTGGTTCTAGTACACACATATATATATATATATAGATATACATATGTGTGTGTCGTGGAACGCAAAGATTATGTTGATGGGTTGCCATTCACGCATTTGCTTGTGTTCCCCGTTCCTACAACGCCAGACGGTCCAGCTCGCCCTGTCTAGCGGGTGCCCGGCCGCCCAAACGTTGTCGATTGGCTCGCCCGCTATGTTTGTGATGCGTCCAACCTGCCAGGAGTCCGCCTAGGAAGAGGTTCCAGGGGGGGGCAGAGGGATGACAAGGGCTTCGGATGTCCCTGGAGTCTGGGGAATCTCAGAGGCTTTTCGATGCGCTCGGGGTGTTTGAAGATCGCCGCGTCAGGAGTCCAGTCCGCCAGTGCTCGACGAAATGTCCAGTGGAACGCGCTTGGTCCGCCGCTGTCCTGAAGGCCGCCTCGCCCCCGCCTCGCTCCTGAGCGGATCCGCGACCCCTGCTGGGCTTGGGATGCAGGGAGGCACGCGGGCACAGGACCCAGAGGCGGGGGCAGTCTTCGCCCGCGAGCAGCCTGCCGTGCTTCACACCCACGGTGGGGGGAGATGGACCATCTGTCGGTGGAAGCGCGCACAGAATCGGAGGTCAACTGGGCGACGCAAAAAAAACAGGGTCGCCAGCGCCGACGTCGGCTCGTAATCTGCCGGCGCAGGGTCGAGCGCAAGCGCCCTCGATTTCATTGCAGCGTGCCGAGCGGGTGGCCCGCGCAAGCGACCGCGTGAGGTCGCTACGTCATCTCGCGGAGGCCTGTTTTTGATCGTCGGTCAACCGAATATGTAACCGTGCGCGGGCAGCGTCCGCGAGCCTGCGCTCGAGAGCGGTCACGCGTTCTTCCGGGACCGCGGAGGGCGCATATGCACATGTGTCTATGGTCGTTCGGAGGGGCCGATTGACTGGTGGCCCAGAGTTCAGAGGAAGAAAAGGTGCCCATACCGCCACCCTTCCCTCATACTCACCTTTTTGGGCTTTCCGTCGTCGCCACCGCCGGAATCGCCTCGAAGCCTTGGTCAGAACGCACCCCGAGAGAGGTCCAGGGAGTAGCGGTCAGTGGCATCGGTGCCTTCTGGTCCCCCAGGAGTGGGGTCAAAGAGTTGATGGGCCAATTGTACACCACCGCTACCATAGGTAGGAGAAGGGGAGGAGGAGAGGAGGAGGAAAAGGAGGAAAAGGACGAGGACCTCCCCATCTTCTCCTCTCCCCCGTCCTGCATATGGTGGTGGTGGTGGTGGAAGATTGGGCCAACAAGAGTGGCAGTTGCATGGAGGCGGCCGTGGTCCCCGCCACAGGAGGAGAAGGAAGGACGTCGACGGCGCGCCCAGGGGGCAGGCGGAGTGAGCGGGCCTCCTCAGAGAGGGCTCAGGAGACAGTTGCCCTTTGAAAAGCTTTACGAGCCTTCTCTGACGGTTAAGTTTTCCACCGCCACTACCAGATGTAAGACGGAGGAGACGGGAGGATGAGGAGGTCCTTTTTTTCCCCCTCCTCCTCCTCCTCCTCCTCCTCCTCCTCCTCCTCCTCCTCTTCCTGCTCCTCCTCCTCCCTCTCCTACCTATGGTAGTGGTGGTGGGAAGGTAGGCCCATCATTCTCCGAAGCCCCGCAGAGCCTTCGGAGAAGGCCTGCACCCCCTCGCACTCCTCCCCTTGGGGCGCGCCGCCGCAGGGATGCCGCAGGGGCTGTGTTTTTCTCCAGCTGGGGAGAGAGGGAGGGGCGGAGCCCAGACCTCCGCCTTCCGCTGCAGTGCGCTAGGCCTCCTAGAGGGGGTCGGAGTAGATGGGTCGGAGGTTCGCGCTGCATCGTTGATGCATCGCCGATGCGGTTCGACGTGGAGCCCGCTTTTCGCCGATGCATCGCCGACGTCGCCGATGCACCGCTGATGCGTCAGCGATGTGTCGCCGATGCATCGCCCATGCGGCGCGATCCTCTGACCCATCTGCTCGGACCCTATCTAGGAGGCGTCTAAGTGCGCGCACGGCGTCGCCGTGGTGGCCCGCCGCTGCGGGGCCCACGGAGCCATGCATCAATCGAACGTGTGTTTGCCAGGTAAGCGTTTTTGGCAACCACGCCGCTCACTCTCCGTGCTCGTTGTCCTCGTTCTCCTCGTCCTCGTTCTCCGCCTCCCTGGAGTCGAAACTGGGTCAAGAGAGTTTGCAGGCCCACTTGCTGCTCTATGCTTGTGGGAGGTGTTCGACCAGTCTCTCCCCACCAAGCCCTGCGGGGTGGTCCAATCCCCCCTCCGCGCTGCATCGACGCAAGGGGGACATGTATGCCAGGTTAGCATGTTCAAACTTACGATGCAGGCATCGTCTATGTCTATACACACTGGAGAGTGCGCTTCACTGTTCCTGCCCCCGCCTGCACTCCCTGGGTTTGGTTGCGCGGCAGAAGGGATGCCTGGCGAGTGTTGGCAGTCTTCTCCGAGGGCAGGGGGCTCCGCAGAAGGAGTCGACCCTTTGAAGGACGGTGTTCTTTGCAGCTTCGACAGGCCAGGGGCACTTCGTAGTAGAACGCTACCCACCTGACCCTGCTCCCCTTCGCATGCCGCCGAAGAGTGAGCGGCGGGACCGCACGTCCGCGGCGGACGGATGCAGCACGTCCTTGCGTGGTTTTTCCCCCTCTCTGCACCCCCCAGAGAGGCCCGACTCCGAGGAGTACGCGCCCGGACGGAGCGTGCCCTCACCCGACAGAGAGCGCCCCATTTTGTTGCATGTGCCCCCACCCGACTCCTCCGATTCGATTCAATTCAATTTCGATGGCTTCTGATTCCGATTCGATTCGATTTCGGATTCCGATTTGGATTCCGATTTTTCCATGGAGGCCTACGAGCCTGCCGATTTTTGCAGATTCGACTTCTCCCGACTCGGCTGCCGATTTACGCCGATCCGATTCACTTCGATCGTCGATTCAACTTCTCGATTCGATTCTGGGCTCTCCTGCTCCCGTCCTCACCACTCCTGCCTGTCCTCCTCCCTCTTCTCCCCTGATGTGAGCCTTTGTCGAATCTCTCGGGGCGCGGAGCAACGGATCATCAGCAGATGCTGGAGGGGCGCCAGTGGAGTCGAGCGTGTCTGGGGCCAGGTGCGAGGACAGGGTGGGCCCACAGTCTGGCGGTCACGCGCCCACTGGATCGTGGTGGTCACATGCATGCTGTGGTTCTCGCAAGCTTTACGGTCCTCGCAGGCAGTTCGTGGTACTCGCATGCACGACAGAGTGGTGTCGACCAGCATGCAGCGGCAGGACGTTCTGATGCTCAGACAGATAGTGGTGTTCGCAGGCATGTTGTCGTTTTGTTTGCAGGTCAGTCGTTGTGTTTCCAGGCGGGTGTTGGTACTGACCTGGTCTACTAAACTCTTGTTGTGCATAGGAGTAGTGCTCGCAGGCTGTTGCTGTAGTGTCGGGTCTGGTTTCACTTGCCGGTTGGTGGTCACAAGCAGGTGGTTCTCGTGTGCATGTGCTGGAGTTCGTAGGCTATTGAGGTTTACAGCTCTATTGCTATGCTCGTAGGCGTAATGTTGTGATCGCTGGCACACTGTCAGTGCCACTGGTGAGTACAGAAAATATGTTTGCATACTTCTGGCTCTCGCATGCTATTATCGATTATGGAACTGGCTGGGTTCGTTCTACTTGTGTGGTCTTTGATGTGCTCGCAGCGGTTACTTGGTGAGGGTCTGGCTTTCTTCGCCGTTTAGTTGTCTCGGGTACATTGTGGTGATCACAGGCACGTCGTGGTGCTCGTAGGCATGCCGTTCTGCTCGCAGTCTATTGTTATACTGGCATGTTCTGGCATACTGTTGTGCATCTTTTGGCGCTTGCACGCCGCCGTGATTAGTGCATGGTTGGGCTTCCATGCTGACGGTGTCACGTGCTCATGGCGGTGCTCGCATGTGTATCGCGATGCTTGCAGGAGTGCCGTGGTGGTCGCAGGCCATTGTGGTAATCAGGTCCAGTGATACATCTGCGCATAGTTGTCGTACCATCGTGGCGCGCGGCCGCGGCGAGGTGTTCTTCAGGAGCGCTGGCGAGTCGGCCTCCGCGGTGGGGAGGGGCTGCGACCGGGGTTGACGTCAGGAGGGGATGCGGTCAGAGTTTTGGTTTCGCGTGTCGCGCCGCTGCTTCTGGCCCACCACGCTGCCGCGCGGCACGATATCCACGTCCCCGTTCCCCGAGCGTCAGCGTCTCGAGTTGTTCCCAGCCTCCCGTCCGACGGAGCGTGGTGACACGCTATCCGCTCGCACGGCATAGCAAGCAATACATCCCGAGCGTCGGCTCAGAGGGGGACGCATCGACATTCAATCGCCCAACTAGCACAGCCCGCCCAGGAGCGCATGCATTCACTTTGGGGGGCTTTGTGACAATGTGTCGGCGATGTATCGCTGATTTCAGGTTCATGGGGGGGGGGGGGGAATTCCGGGATCGATGTTCGAAGATTTGTGGCGTCCTCGTCGGTTTTCGGCGACTTGCCAGCTTCAGGATGCCCTCCTGCGCATCGCCGAAGGCTCTCTGCGGGTGCCCGAAGCGTCCCCGGCGGCCGCTGGAGACCCGAGTTGTGACCCGCAAGCTCTGGGGGATCGAAGTGGGTACGGACAGAGTAGGGACGAAGGCCGACAGCAGTTCCTGTCCTTTTGGAACAGGACTCGCTGACGGCGTCGCCGCGCGCGTTGTCCATTTGAGAGAGACAGGAAATCGCCTGCCCAACAGCGGCTGCTGTAAGTTTTGGACAGCATCAGCTGTTCGGCATTGTACCAATGTGTTCCCTACCCGTTTCGGGCTTGCGACGATGCCAAGGGGGTTGGCGTCGTGGCCCTTGGGGGGAGGCCTGTGCGGAACAGGATGCTGATCATATTGATAATAATGATAATACTACTAATAATAATGATGAGATTGATGATGCTGATACTGATGCTGATGATACTGATGATACTGGTGATACTGATTATGAGTATGATTTTGGTGATCATGATAATGTTGGTGGTGGCGATGATGATGACGATGATGATGCTGATGATGATGCTGCTGATGATGATGCTGACGATGCTGATGCTGGTGCTGATGCTGATGCTGATTGTGATGTTAAGGGTGATGATGGTGATGATGATGGTGATGATGACGATGGTGGTGATGATGGTGACGATGATGATGCTTATGGTGGTGGTGATGATGGTGATGATGATGATGGTGGTGATGATGATGATGGTGATGATGACGATGGTGGTGATGATGGTGACGATGATGATGATGCTGCTGATGATGATGATGATGATGATGATGATGATTACGACGACGATGCTGATGATGATGATGAGGAGGAGGAGGAGCAGCAGCAGGGGGAGGCGGAAGGATGGGGATGGGGCGGCGTCAGGAGGAGCGTGAGGAGGTCAGGAGGAGGAAGGGGAGGGGGAGGAGGAGGAGGGGGAGGAGGAGGAGGAGGAGGAGAAGAAGGAGTAGTAGTAGTAGTAGCAGTAGGAGGAGGAGGAGGAGGTGGAGGAGGAGGAGGAGGAGTTGGATGAGGAGGAGGAGGAGGGAGAGGGTCCGTGATTTGGGTTCGGTGTTGGGAGTCTGGTGATGTGGATTTGGTGTTCGTGGTTGGAGGTTTAGGGTTTTGGATTTGGTTTATGGTATTCGGGATTTCGGTTTTTGGGGGTTTGGGTTTGTTTGTGTTGTTTTCTTTTGAGCTTGGTGTTAAGGGTTTGGTGCTTGGCGTTTGGTGCTAGGTTCCTCGTCATGGAGACGGGGAACGACTCAGTCTGCTTGGAAGAGGCTTCTTTTGCCGCGGAACGCCTCCACCCTTCCCTCTTTCAGTGCCACCACCCCAGTTGGGGATATACCCTTCGAAACCCGAAGGGAACAGCACGTGTCCCCATCTAGGGGGACAAATCGGCCAGTGGGGCCGAGGCCACGCCGGGCCGGATCGGGCGACGAAATCTACACATATCCACTGCTCTCTTGCCAGGCCCATCCTGAACTCAGGAGCTGTGTATACGACCTCCTAGCCAAGCCAGGAGGGCGTGGCGTATACACACCGCTGCTGGGTTTAGGATGGGCCTGGCCAGGAGGCAGTGGATACAGTCGGACCGAGGTAAAATATCGAGGTCGGTTGGGGAGGGGACCCTCATGCTTTTCGCGTTTGTTGGATGTTCTGGTGCATCCTGGGGGAGGGTACCCTCGAATGTTCTTCAGTATGGGCCGGCGGAGGGTCTTATGTTCTTGAGGGATGTTTCTCTGTCCTAAGTCCAACTGTATGTATGTCGGCGGTGCGCCGTGGCACGAACCCCCCCCCCCAGCACTACCGGGGAGTTTCGTGCACTACCGGGGGGTTTCGTGCAGCCCGCACCGGGTGCCGCCAGCGGCTTAGAACACCCCCCCCTTGCCGTTTTACCGGGGGGTTTCGTGCAGGCCGCACTGCGTCTCCCTGGGCTCCCCCCCCCCCTGTGGGAGTGGGGGGGTGGGAGTGGGGGGTGGGTTGGGGGGGGGCAGGGGGGCGGTTGGGAAGGGTGGCTCCCTGTCGAAGTGTGGCGTGTGCTCGCCTTGTGTTCTCTATTCGCGTCTGCTCGCCTTTGTTCCGCCGCAGCCTCTCGTATTGTGGCTCGTGGTCACAATACGAGAGGCTGCGGCGCAAATCCCGAGAGCCGCTGTGGGGGGTCGACGGCACGGCCGCGTAGAGAAGAACAGTGCCGCCGTGTTCCGGCACGGCCCTGGGATGCAATGCCGCCGCCGTGTTCCGGCCCGTCCTGGTAAGATTCGCGCGTCGGGGCTGGGTTTCGCGCGTGCTGGGAGCGCGCCGCTTACGGAGGGGTTGCGTCCTTACCGGGGGGTTCCGCGCAGCCTACCAGAGGAGGTCGTGTTTACCAGGGGGTTTCGTGCAGGCTCGCACCGGGAATGGCGCCAGCTCGAAACCCCCCAGGAGAGATTACCGGGGGGGGGTTCGCTCCGCACCGGGCACCGCCGACATGTATAGTTTCGTCGCCCTATGGGATAGGGATCGGTTCAACGATGCTCACGCTTCCCGCCAGCCTTCCCACCTCGCTGCTGCCGCTCTCCTGCGCTGCGTCGGCGACGCCGAAGGAGGGGGCGCGGTGGGCAGGGCCAGCTGGCGAGGCTCTTCGAGACGGCAGGCGCCCCCCGCCACATCACGGAGGTCTCCTATCCCTTCCTGATCTTGCTCCTGTCCCTCCTCTTCCTCCTCCTCCTCCTCCTCCTCCTCCTCCTCCTCCTCCTCCTCCTCCTCGTCCTCATCTCATCCGTCGTTATCCTCCTTCTATCCCCCCCTTTCCTCCCGCCCTCCCCCCTCCCGCCTTCGCGCTCCCCAGGGCCCCTGTTCAAGTGTCTCCCTCCCTCCCGCGGTCGAATAAACACTGCTCCCCGAATCATTCCCCCAGCTGTTATCCCACCCCATGGGATAACGACCTCGTAGGGCATATCCAGTTTCGGTGTCGAAACTGTGTATGCCGTTTTCGGACCCCTTTTCAGGAATCCTGCCTTAGGACCGTCCTCAGGAGCGACCTCTTCGAAAACCGCGCGCGCCCCCGCCCTCTCGCCCCCCCTGGATGAGGACCGTCTTTAGGCCTCGCCCGTGAGGACCGCCAATTGGCCTCACATCCCGCGCAGCTTCCATCACAGGGGCTGCGTGGGTTCCCCCCCGCACCTATACATGATGGCGTCAATTGCCACCGGAGGGGCCGAGGACCTCCCTGCAGCCCCATCGACCAACGAAGACGGCTGCAGGGAGGGGTCCAAACGTACCTCCACCTTCATGCACCAGCCAAGCAATACACCAGGAAACCAACTCCTCATATTCCTCCCAGGCGATGTGGCTGGAGGGTGTTCGAGGTTGAACGCCTCTCTCGTCCGATTGGTGTCAGAAGCCAGGGACAAGTCATCACTGCAGGAACTTGCTGTTCGACGGTAGCGGGCTCAGAGGTGGGTTAGGGAGGCCTGATGGGGATGGGCCTGGGAGTGGACAGTGGGGCCTGGGGTCGACTCAGTACATCGCCCCTTGCTGCTCATCATGACCGCTCTCAGAGGGCCACCAGCCCGCGGCTGCGGGGTTCTCAGACCCCTCGGTGGCAGAGGGGGGCGCTCGATCTGCGCCCCCCCCCCCGCCCGCGCAGTGCGTGGGCTGCGGGGCCGTGGGCCTGAAGGCACAGCAGGTCAAGGCAAGGCATCTACGAGAAGGCATATTACTGCGCGGTCTGCTGGACCACTTGGAACGCCGCCCAGGCAGCCCGTGGACATCACCAGGTGCGTCGAGCCCACCGAAATGACAGGCCACAACGCCCGCGGTGCCGGGCTTGGGCGGGGTAAGGGCGCGCGGATCGACGCGAGCGGCTCGGCAGGCATCGCCTGCATGGGTCGCGGGCAGCTCGCACACGCTCTCGTCGCGACCGCGGGGCCGTCGGGGCTGATGCTCTTGTGCGGCGCCTGCGAGCCAGCCGCCCCCCCCTTTGGCAACGGGGCGCCCTCCTCGCAGGCCGTGCCCCCGCCGGGCCAGAATAGCGACGCCTGGACCCGCACCGCTCAAGGGTAGCGCTTCCGGCGCGGGTGGCTTGCGACCCGTTGTTCCTGGAATGCGCGCGCTCGCAGAACCAGGCTCCAGCAGGCCTCCCGCCTGCGCCGCCGCCGGTAGGGAGGCGCTGCCTGGACTGGTGGTTTCGGATGCTTCTGGACGGGGGCGTCCCGCTGTGCAGGGCGCACATATTCCTGGCAGGCGCCCCCTTTTATGGCCAACGGCACGTGGAGCTACGTGCCGAAGGACCTGTGTCCCCCGAGCGGGGCGTGGCCGCAATTTGGCCACAAAATGGGCGCAGTCCATGCGTCTGCGCACAGCAGGCCACGTCCACGTGTCAGCCAGCGCAGGGGTCCAGGAGCAAATCTTGGCCAAGCTAGAGGGCTGGACCGTGCACTGGGGCAGTGGCAGCCCGCCCGCCCCGCAGGGGCCAACGCCGGCGGTCAGCAGGGGCCCCCGCTTCTGCCGCCCTTGCCGCCCGCACTTGGATCCCCCTCCTCCTGCCTGCCCCCTCCCGCCCTCTGGGACGCGCTCCCCGTGCGCCCAGGGGCTGCAGTCAGCGTCTACGCTGGTCATTGCCAGTGACGCGGTCGTAGATCGAGAATTTCGTATAAGATCCGCACACGAAGTACGGAGGATCCCTCATCTGCCACTTCTGCGCGCAGCCCCCAGTCAATGGCATTTTCCTTTTGCTGGCCGGCGTAGTCCGACAACACCCCGCCTAAGTTTATTCTTCACACTGTCGGCGGGGGGAAGAGTAAGGTTGGGACCAAAAGCTGAAGTTTGTGTCCGTATGTCGAACGTGTCGGCGCGTCCAAAAGCACAATTTTGTGAAGTGTTCATCCGCAAGGGTTTCGCCCCTTGCCGCCGACCCCCTCTCTCGGATAATGGGCCATGGAAGAGCGAAGTCATGAGGCTTTGACTTCGCCGTGAAGCAGTGTCGAGACTTGTTTCTTTTTCGACCCTGACCCTACGGATCTGCGTGAGGGGTGCCGCCGAATTTCAGAAATGTGGCAAATCCCTTGTGTTTTTGGACCCTGACCCTGCCGATCTGCGTGAGGGGTGCAGAAATGAGGCACGCCCCGCTTGTTTTTGGACCCTGACCCCGCCGATCTGCGTGAGGGGCGCCACCGAATTTCAGAAATATGGCGCATCCTTCTTTTTTTTTTGAACCCTGACCCCGCCGATCTGCCTGAGGGGTGCCACCAAACTTCAGACAAGTGACACATTCTGTATATTTTTGGACCCTGACCCCGCCGATCTGCGTGAGGGGTGCCACCGAATTTCAGAAATGTGGCAAATCCCGTGTGTTTTTGAACCCTGACCCCGCCGATCTGCGTGAGGGGCGCCAGCGGGCTTCAGAAATGTAGCAAATCCGTTGTGTTTTTGGACCCTGACCCCGCCGATCTGCGTGAGGGGTGCAGCGGATTTAGAATTGTGGCACATCTCATGTGTTTTGGACCCTGACCCCGCCGATCTGCGCGAGGGGTGCCACCAAATTTCAGACAAGTGACACATTCCATATGTTTTTGGACAGTGACCCCGCCGATCTGCGTGAGGGATGTTACCGAATTTCAGAAATGTGGCAAATCCCATATGTTTTTGGACCCTGACCCCGCCGATCTGCGTCAGGGGCGCCACCGAATTTCAGAAATGTAGCAAATCCTCTGTGTTGTTGGACCCTGACCCCGCCGATCTGCGTGAGGGGTGTTAATTTTTACCCACCCCAGCAATTCAGACAATATGATTTGGGCATGGTAAAAATGTCAGTTTTGGGCCTCCCCCCCTCGCGCGACCCATGAACAAGGAAAAGTAAGCAGCAAGGGGGCTGGCGGATTATTTGCCCCACATGTAATCCTCTTATTCGACGGGAGATGGGTATACCGCATTCCCGTCGTCAGAAAGCCTTGGAAAAGGGCCCACGAACGTGGTGGCAACTGCGCAATTCCTCCGCCTCCTCCCTCCCCGCCTCCTCCTCCTCCTCCTCCTCCTCCTCCCCTCCCCTCCTCCTCTTCGTCCTTCTCTTCATCATCATCATCATCATCATCATCATCATCATCATCATCATCATCATCATCATCATCATCATCATCATTGTCATCGTCGTTGCCGACGTCATCGTCGACGTCATCCTGATCAACATGATCAGCATCATCATGATCATGGCCGACACCATAACCATCATCAACCAAATCATCAGCATTATCATTGTCATCAGTTCCATCATCATCACCACCAGCATCACCACCAACATCATACTCCTCATCCCCATCTTTATCATCATCCTCAACATCATCATCAGCAGCATCATCACCAGCAGTAGCAGCATCAGCCGTACCAGAATCATCATCATCATCAACAACATCACGACCATCATCATTCGTATCCCTCATCATCACCGTCATCAGCATCATCATCATCCTCATCTTCGTCCTCATCCTCGTCCTCATCATTATCACGATCATCATCCCGCGCACGTGGACGGCCATGTAGGCGAAATTCCGACATACGGCAAACTATTTCGCCGCGGCGTATATTGTTTCCTTCGGTGCGCTGCTCTCGGAGAGGGTCGTGAGATCTCGCCGGGATCTGCGTGAGCTCCCACCCTGCTGAAACTCCCAGGAGCCTACGGAAGTGGCGACGGTTGCGCAGTTCGCAACCACACAGGGAGCCGCGAGGTCTCGGCTGGGTGCGCGTGGACCTCCCAGGAGCACGCGAAAATGGCGACAGTTGCGCAGTTCGCAGTCCGCGGGGGAGCTTCGAGGTCCCGTCTGCGTCCGCCCACAAAAGTGGCGACGGTTGCGCAGTTCGCAACCACCCAGGGAGCTGTGAGGTCCTGTCTGGGTCCACGTACTCCGCTACTCCGCATTGCCTCCCAGGAGCCCACGAAAGTGGCGACGGTTGCGCAGTTCGCAACCACCCAGGGAGCTACGAGGTCCCGTCTGGACTGAGTTACTCTGGCTTCCCAGGTGTCCACGAAAGTGGCGACAGTTGCGCAGTTCGCAGTCACCCAGGGAGCAGCACAAGAGGACAGGAAGAGGAGGCGAGAGCGTGAGGAGGGGGAGGACAGGAGAGGAGTCGGGACCACAGTGCTCTATTCAAAGCCAAGCCCAACGCAGGAGGGTTGGGCAAAAACGGAAAGGGGGGCGCGCAAAGGACTTGATGTTCCCAGTTCAAGCTGGTGTTCGCGAGCAGCAAGGAAATCTTGGACAAGGCGAGCATGGCGCACACCAAGCACCAGATGGGGGCCGGACCATGGAACACTGCGGCTGGGCTGTCAGCAGGCAAAATGTGACGACGAGAGCAAGCAACTGAAGACAAGGGCAGCGAACACAAAGCTACGGAGCGTTCGGCTGGGGGGCCTCGATGACGCTGGCGGAGGGCAGGGAGTCAGTGAGGGAGCTGGTCACTGAGATGGCAGAGTTCCTCAACGCTTACGCCACGAATGCCTCGGTGCAGGAGATCCCGGAGCTAGTCGGCCACCTCCGTGTCAAGACACAGAAGCCTTGGACGATCACGTTGCACTTCCACAAGGCCGACCGCTACGCAGGTGTCGAGGAGGCGCGCACGAAGACCTTCGCGGTGGCGGGGGGAGTCGCGCGCCTCCGC